AATTAAGAGGTGATGTAGGTACGTTTTATTGGCTTGAGGAAAATCAGTATTTAAATAAATCAATTCCATTGATATGCCTTTATTTTTGTGTCCTATCAATGATTGATGATGATGGCATATACTTAAATGAGCAACATTTTCGTTTTCAAAATGATTCCATTGGTAATCGAACTCGTTGCGGTCTTATTATACAGTGAGCGTGGCTTTTTATTTTCGATTAATGCGCATGAGTTGGTTAATACCATCCTTGACATGACTTTTTGTCAGACGTTGTGAGCTAGTTGACTTACAAGAACCGTATTAAGTAGACAACCTCCCAATTTCCAAAGAAGGTTAAATGAAGAAGGCCCAAGTCGACTAAGCAAGGAAAAATCACTAATTTATTGCAGTTAAATGATACGTAGTAAGTAGTTATGTATTTTTTGACATTCAAGAACACTTATAGATGATAGCTGGTTATGGCAAACAATTAAGGAAAAAGAGACGAGGATAAAAGAAGATACCTATGTTATACTCAGATATATTATCACAAATAGAGGTTACAGGAAACAAAATTAATATAATCGACAGAATTCAAAAATTTTGGGTGACCTTAAAAGATTATTAAGTGAACGAAATTATATGTAAATTGTTTTTGGTTGAAATATTTTAAATCAAATCCATCTCAGACTTGAATCTATGTTTTTAGGTAAGAACCTTTTTTTTATCGTCAGGAAAATAAATTTATTTGTATACCCACCAGCCGCGGGGGCAGCTAGTGGGTTATGTGGGGTTCTACCTGCCAGAAGGGCAGGGCCTACCCACTAAAAACCTGACGTTGGTATGTTTTTAAGAACCTACCGTATACAACTTGTTGAACCTAGCTCCGAGCTGTGTTGTGATACTTATGTTAATTAGATGTCTTTATCTACCCGCTTTGTCATGGTTGCGGCAATCAATAAACAGACAAATTTGCTTATCAATCGCAGAATCTGCATGTCCGACATCAATCAATAAAATAATTAGTTCATAGAAGAGGTTGTTACTTCTAGTTATCTCATGCCTCGTACAAGTAATTAATGCCTATTGCTTGTGACTGCAATAAAAATCATGATGATTCGTTGGGGTTAGTTTGGTATTCACTAACTCACCTACCAGGTACCTTATTGGAATATTAATTAATTACTGAGATGGATGTCTCCTTGCTCATTTTCTCCTTAGTTCACTTAAAGAGAGATAGCTATTTTATTTAGGTATAATATTTATTTGATATGTAGGTAGGTAAATTTATAGGGGACAGCTGCACTTATTTAAAAAAATCCAAGCATTTAAGTAAGTATTTGAAAGTTACATTATTCAGATGAACATAGACTGTAGATAACTACCCTTTATTCCATCTAGTCCTACCAGTAGTTAGATAGTCAAACTGTTTGGATTTTTTTTTTCAAATTGTTATACTGACGGGTCGTACTATTTGGAAACGCGGATTTTATTCAAACGAAGCTGCGAAACTAGCTTTACAAATAAAATAAGTTATATCGTAGGCGGATGGTACCCGTATTACTACAAAACCTTTTATGTTACGATTTGAGTACTGAATTTATAAGTGAAAAGAGAAACAAATCCCTAGTTTTTCCCATAAACATCAAAGCTGGTTTTACTAGCGAAAATCCAGAGCTTTTACTGTTATGTACAGTCGGCAGCACATCAAGCTTAACACTGTGGCTTCTTATGTGGTTGTAATAAGTGATATTTTGCAATAACCACTTATAGTCTTATGTGTTTCCGACTGTACTTACAATAAAAGAACTTGACTTACTGCTAAGCTGAGTTAAACGAGGGGTTTGTAGAATAAAATTCTGTTCTATTTTGTTTATAGCTTAATCACCTAAAAACTACTCTGCACTGTGTTTCTAATGCATTAGGTACGGAGGGCATACAAACGTTACTTGAACTTTTGCTCTACCAGCAGGAGGGGAGACCGAGGAGAGTTGTAGTAACAGAGGTGGGTTGTGAAAAAGTCAATTTATCTGAATCTAAGGAGGTATATCGCTCTAGCAACTTCGCGAATTCATTGCTCTTTCGACACTCCACAGATTAATATTATTAAAAATAACTTGAAAAAATCAAACTGCCTAAGGTGGGAATCGAACTCACGACCTTTCCCTTGCCGGGGGCTGCTCTTCCATCTGAGCTACTAGACACTGGGTTCGATTCCCACCTTGGGCAGTTCGATTTTTTCAAGTTATTTTAAAAATATTTAGATCGAGAGACGACTCTTAACGCCAGAACTTCACAGATTGTGTAAAATTCTCAGCTCGTTAACGACAACTCACTTCTGTTACAATTTCCCTCGGTCTCCCCTAGAGGCCCTAGAGCCAAAATTGTAATTCCTTATTGGTTTTGGCATGATCATTTACGATTAAGTATTAAAGTAAAACAATAAACTGGTTAGCAGATGGATAGCGAATATTACATAGTTATCCTTGAATGTCATTGACCTTCGTAATATTTCGTGAAAGTCTCATTTCCGTATCCGTACAGAACGGATGGCCTTTTGATTAAACACAAGCCCTACTTAAAAACGAGAGGAGCTGACTTAATCTGACAAAAGATATCGATGTTTATTGTGAAGGTTAACCATTTTAATAAAGTGTAAGAACCTCATTACTCATGAGGTTCTTACTTCCTACGGAGCTTCCTACGGGAAAAGCTCTTTTCTATAGTTCAATTTACATGGTTGATTTACAAAGTTTCCCTTAGTTAAATAATGTGTACAAGTATATTAACCGTGATTCAAATACGCCTCAACTAATANAACTAATCGAGCTTGTAAAGTGACTCACTGAAAAACATTTTCTAGAAAATACTTATTTTAACATGTACGAGTACTTATTACATGTGTAATTAGAAGACTAAATAAAATAGTAACGGTACCCTTACGTCCTAAACTAACACGTATCTCATTAGGCCTAACATTATTAGCTCACATAAGTCGTTAATTACCTAGGAGTTTTCAAAGTTGGATTTGCTGTGGAAAGGGCTGCGTGGAATTCAGTTTGTCACAGATCATTACAAATTATAGCCTATAGTGTTTTTATACTATAAAGTTTTATCAAAATCCGTTCAATAGTTTTTGCTTGAAAGAGTATAATATAACAAACTTAAAACTTTCGCAATTCTAATATTAGTAGGATTGCTTTACATTGAGGATAGCGTCACAAAATCGACTGAAAAGAATAAGTTGAATGTTCTATAGCAAGTTTTCTGACATTCCTATAAAGTTATTTGACTTTTTATAGCAGGTAGGTATTTATTTAACCATGTCGCCGCGTAGTTTTTCGCCAAACTATTTCCATTCTTTTGCCAACCGCATGAAAAAACAGGAAGCGACAGTTTCTGTTGCTACTCGTGTTTCTTTGTTGCGGTTCTGGCAATTTTAATTATAAACCAAACGCCTGCCATTTTACGTCAGCTGCGCTTAACGTCGATTCAAAGGCGACTGGTGGATTGAGGCGATCAGGCGTCGTATACTATGGGTTGTACTGCTCCATATTGAAATATTACTGCTCCATATTGAAATATTTCAGGTTTATAATAAACTTTAATATTTTTAATTATTGTTTACAAAGGGACACGATTTTAATAATACGTATAAATAGATTTCAGTCAATATCGACTTGAGACCGCGAAGTTGCTGAAATTAATCATATTTTCCAAAGGAAAATCTAACCACATGATCGCGAGAGTGAACGCTTGAAAGTTTCATCACTGTGATTTTTTTGTTTCAGTGCAGGTATTTGGAGGCTTTTACTTGGCAAGGAAGTATATTAAATATATTTATATCTAGAGAAAACATTGTATGATCTTCTTTTCAGCCAAATGACGTCCACTGCTGGACAAAGGCCTCCCCCAAGGTTTTCCACAATGAACGGTCCTGCGCTGCCCGCATCCAGGCTCTTCCCGCGACCTTTACCAGATCGTCGGTCCACCTAGTAGGAGGCCTGCCCACGCTACGTCTTCCAGCCCGTGGAAAATAAATATGAAAAAGTTTATTTTTCAAACTTATCGTCGCTTTTCAGTATGAAGCGTTCGTCGCGTGCCTGTAACTGTTAATAATGAACCTCTGCAGTCCGCAGCCAGCCTGCCTTCGATTAAATCATGCTAATCGGGCTTGTAATGTGACTCAAATGCGGTAATATTGCTACAAATTGCTGTTTAGGGCAGCCATAATCTGTTGATGGGAATAGACGCTTTACATGGCTGTATTGACTGCAAATTAAGTGGATCGAAACTCTATACTCTATTTATAAAATTGAAAAGGAAAATAATGATGAATTATTTTTAAAAGGAATACAACGATATTATTATTCAGTTTTTTAAATGAAGGATTAACTAAAACTATGTCACGGTTATTCTTTACGTAAAGTGGGACATATTTTTTTCTGAGTAATAAAGTACACCTATAGGTAGGATTATATGAGAAGAATAGCTCTTATTTAAGTTTGTACCTTGACCCCCTATTGCATACAATCCCATATAAACGAGAGCTCTAAGATGTTTGGTTGTCTTGATAGTATTGTTATCGTGAATAATGATCCTATATCCTACCTGATCTGCCAAACGCTTTTAATATAAAGATAGCAAAAACATTTAGGCTGGGTTAGACCATCTTACTTTAACTTTAACAAACGTCAAAAATCTGCCAGACTCCATAAAAAACACCGGTTATTGCTATAGTTACCATTAAAGTTAGGTGGTGCAACTCAGCCTTAGTAGTGACATAAAATACTATTGCAATTTAATCTTAAAACTAGGAAAATAAAGAAAATTTCCATTCAATTTCCCAAGGTTTTTACTTAAGTAAATATTGACTAGAGAATGTGCATTACTTAAAACTTGGATTCAATTTGGCGACTTGATATTGCGGGGCTGCTAAAAGCTGCCTAAGTGAACCTATTGTGCTCGGGAGCTTTGAAACTGTTTGGAGTTCAGTACTTCAGTTATTCGCGTTCCGCCCAACCGGGAGGATGTCCGTATTCCCGCCCTCGGAACATTTCGCGAACAAAACTTCGTACTCAACTTTGATTTAATCACGCGATCGTTTTAAATGGTATTAGATTATCAAACAGATAACTGTTTACTTCAATGGACTCGTCTACTTTTCTAAATTGCTAATTTAAATGTTACGCTAAACTGCCAGTTTTTTTTGTAGTTAATTATTGGGACTGAAATGAGTTTTTAAGTTTAAAAAGTTTATTGTGCTTTTGAAAGTGGAATAGTGTTATCTTGGAATTAGATTGATGATGGTTTTGAGAAGTTCCCTTCAATGACAGTGACTGAGTAATTAATTTTTGTAAAGTGTTCGAAGATTAATTGATCTGAAAGGTTTGATTTCATTCAGTCTATTGTCGGGTGATTTATCACAGGCCGTGTTTATTGCTTCTTAGTCAAACTAAGTTTATGTTGGAGGTCAAGGCCATTCGTCTCATTTATTGTGATGATTGCCTCCAGTTCAGTCTTGTATCCAGATCCAAATCTAGTTCTTCTTTAGTCCTGCTCGACTTATATAACGAAATACGGCATTGCAGGTTATTTACTTACTTTAGTATTTTACGTGAGACCTGTCGTGTTGGAAGTCAAGTGTTCGGGCTATACTCGTAACTTATTAATAAGGTTAATTGAAAACGAAAACTACTAAAGTTTTTAGTACTTATGCTACGCTATGTAAGAAATTGTTCAAGACATTACACCTAATTTTATTTACTCTATGTGTAGAGATTTACAATAAGCATACTTAAATTAAAATTTTATCGGTAAATCAATATCTTCATTGGAATGTAAATATTGAACTTATACTAAGATTTTTATCTTACATTTTTCAATTTCATTCAGAATCGTTTGCTCCTTGAAATTGGTATCCACTTTAATCTATATATATCTATTATATATATAAAAGAAAGTCGTGTTAGTTACTCCACTTATAACTCAAGAACGGCTGAACCGATTTAGCTGAAAATTGTCAGGGAGGTAGTTTAGAGCCAGGAGAAGGACATAGGATACTTTTTATCCCGTTCGAAATAAAAAAAAGTCTGCTTATTTATTGCCATTAAGGCGGAACAAAGTTCGCCGGGTCAGCTAGTTAAATATAGATCGGAATGCTTAAAAGACTTTTAGTTTACCTTAGGAATCTATTTTCGCTTTACTCACGTTCTTAAAACTTTCAATAGATAATAAATTCTGTTGAAAAACAAAGCAATAAGTATCGAAGATTTAACTGATTCGAAACTGCAAAGTTTTCAAAGTGCTATTCGTCATAAAATCGAGGATTGGAATATTTTTCTTTCAAAGCGTCTATCATATCTAAGGTTAGGTATGATTTCCTTCAAGGTTAAAATGTAATCTGAATTGTAATTGTATTACAATAAATTTAGTAATGCAAAAATTACGGTTATCTCCTACGTCTTCAAAATAAAGATGTTCAATAACTCTTGGACTTAGGCTATGCAGTAGGTATATATTTTTAGTAAGAAATGTAAATCTAGAGTCGTCTTGGATACAGGCATTGCTACAGGTGGTCACAGTAAAACAAGCACATAATTATTATACAAAGGCTCTGACCGAGGAAGGAAGCTCTCTTATTATAGGTACACTATGATTTCTTACCATATTGATATAATCTTCATCAGAATCAGACACAAAGAAGGGAAGACCCTTTATCAAATTAGGTCTAACTAACTTTAGGGTCTAACTAACCTACTATTCAAGATTAGATTCCACATTGAAGTTTACAACACAACAGCAAGCTTTGATTCTCTCCTTCGCTCTACAAAAGCTATTGTGGACCTTAAATTGAAGGACCCAAAATTAATTATCGGTCTCTCAGGGGATGGGTAGGTAGATATACATATTTTGTAATACCAAATAAACCGATAGACACCAGACACTACATCATTGTTAAAGTTTAATCGAGCCAGATGTCTGCACAGGCTGCGAATTTAACTGGCAAAATTTTGGACAAACGAATTGGGGAGGGTTCTAATAAAATATGCATACATTTGTCTGACGTGTTTCTCTTTGAAGCCAATACATACTGTCATAACGGACACTGACCTAGATACCCAAATCGGGCAAGTAGCAGTGTACTCCCTGAATTCTGAAGTGCTGGGTTCGATTCATAGATGAGAACATATTAATAGAAAAGTCACTCCGTGTAGTTTCTCCCAAATTTGTTAGGGCATTTCTGACGGCAATTAATATTGTCGTTCGGGGTGTAATACCTACGTCCATTATCACGACTTTCCGAAGGCTCGTTAAGCCATTAGACTGCGCTATGACAGTCGCCAATGATGGTACAAAAATCCAGGGCAATAACCTTAGCACTCCTTAGCGGTTACAAAGCACAATAGAAGAAGATAAATAAATATTTTGGAAATATTTCGTGGTGACTTTTCAAGGAAAAAGAAACAATTTCTTTTTCCACAAAAGATCTGTGCTTATGAGAAAGTGTTTTACGACGGTACGTGACCACCAAACAAATAAAATAACTTAGATTTATACAGTCTCGGCGACCCGTGATCAAATCAACCCGAGTCGTTTATTATCATTGCAAATATAAGTTGGTCTCCTTGGCGCAGTGTATAAAGAAGTTTTTTTTATCCGCAACAAGGAAGCTCTTGGCCTTTTTTTTGGAGTTGAGGTTCAATTTGTGGTCCTAGGGGAACAAAACGGTTCACTCGTATTTCTAATGATTGGGTAGTTAGCTCTAATTGAAACAAAATGTTTAACAGGTTACATTTGGGGATAGTGCTATCATAATGTATCAGAGCTTTAGGGTAAACGAAATATTTTTACACGGAACTGGGAAAGAATACAAAATAATCATTACATTAATAATAACTCGAGGGACATACAAATCTTAATTCAGACAGCCTCTGACAATGACGAATGAAGCTCGCAAAATAATTTTGCTGGAAGTTCATTGTACATTTCTTAAGGACTGTACCTACTCCTCTGAAATACAGTAATTGGACTTATTTCGTTGTTAACTAGGTATGTAAACGAGTAAAAGAGACGAATATAGAACATGAAATATCAATGTTTCAAAGTGAATAAGCAACTGAAATGTTTAGAAAATGTGCTTTAAAGGAGACTCAATCTTAACAAATAATATCAAACCTTAATTTTACCAAAATTCGTACAAAAGTCGCTTTACAATATTAGTTACCTGCGGATATTATAAAACCAAAAATACCTATTTCTCAACTAGCGATCGTAATGGACGGGAACAATAAATGGACCATGTCCAAAAAATTCAAGGCAATCTGAAGATGCTTGTGTCAGTGAGAAGGACCGCGTGACAAGATGTGTAAGAACGTGAAGAGCGTGACGTGGGAGACTGAGACTTTGATGGGCGGGCCGCCCAAATCGCGGTGGGGGCAGTTGTGTCCCAGGGCGGCGCTGTCACATGTTGGGCTGTTCGTCGCGCTCATGCTTTATACTGCTGGAGGAGGCTTGGTACGTATAATGTTTGTCTCATGTATTGGCAGTTAATGCTTAGGTTATTTGGCGACTTCAAACTAACTAGATAGTGCTAGGAAATACTGTTAAGAATAGAAAGTTCTATGGGTACGACTTCACATGACAGTAGCTCAACTGAAAATCTTGATAACTATTGGATGTTGTGGAACGTGAGAGTAGTAAGGCATGACCTTGAAAACCAATTATAAAATTTCACTAGCACCGACAACATCACTCGGATTAAGATTTTAGATTGAGAGATTAAGTTCAAAATATATTTGGAACCTTTTTCTCACGCGTAATTGAATCCCTAATTAAATACAATTTGCCTTTTTGAATAAGTAAACCATAATCGAAAATGCCTTTTTAGTCAAGTAAAGGTAGGTACGAGTAACTAACGAATTCTTTCTCAAATCATGCATTTGGCCAATGTATGCTCAATTAGAGGTGTTTTTTTTAGAAACCAATCATTCCCTAGCTAATCTAATTAAAATGAAAGGCCAAAGTACAAGAAGACACATTTNTTTATTAGATATGTTCGTTCAATGCTTAACAAATGACATAATGCTAACACTAAATAATAGTACCGAACTTAACACATTAGTTTCTATCTTAAAAACAAAAATAAGTCTTAAGAAACTAATTAAACTTAAAATATCCTTATTATGGCAAAACACTTTGTCAGCTTATGTTTCTTTTAAAAGTCTGCAAATTCATCCTCAAACAAGCATACCGGGCTTTCTTTTATCTTTTCTTCATCAAAAACATCGAAGTTTGTAGAGTCACCAGGGGAGCGAATTTTTGGAATAAATGGTGGATGTACCCGACTGTTCAGAAGGCTGTCCCAGTCAATCTCTCTAAACCACTTATGGTTTTTGAAATCTAAGACGCCATCTTTCAAGTTCCCGTAACGGCGTGTTATATCAACTTGAAGAACATGGTTTATCAAATCTTTCAATTCCGGTGAAAAATGCGACGGACATCGATACTTTCCTGATACAATTTTTTCATAAATCCTCATCGGGTCAGAGGCATAAAACGGTGGGTGACCTGCACTCATTTCAAATAGCAGAATCCCCAAGGACCACCAATCTACTGACATTCCATAACCTTTACTTAGAATAATCTCTGGTGCTAAATACTCTGGAGTACCGCAGAGAGTCCAAGTTCTACCACGTATCAGCTTACAGAAACCAAAATCGGTTATTTTAATATAGCCAGTTCTATCTATGAGAATATTCTCCGGCTTCAGATCTCGGTATACCAGTTCGCAGGCATGGAGATACTCCAAAGCTAATATAACTTGAGCGCCGTAAAATTTTGAAGAGGTTTCTTCAAACTTCCCCATTTTTCGGAGATGAGAAAACATTTCACCGCCGGCAATAAATGGCAAAACATAATACAGATAAACGTTATCTTTGAAAAAGTATTTCATGTAAACCACGAATGGGAAATTCAGACCGCATAGAATTTTCTTTTCATAGTAGCTATGCTCTATCTGCTTCAGTTTCACAATTTTTTCTTTTTCTAGCATTTTCATGGCATAATATTTTGAGCTGATTTGGTGCTTTACTAAAAATACAACCCCGAACGCACCTGTACCCAAAACCTTGTGAATTTCAAAGTCCTCCAATTTGGCATTGGTTTCGGCCTTGTCGTTCCAAGATTCTATAAAGTCTTGGTGTAGTTTCCTCAAGTATTGTGCATATTGGTCTTGTTTTGTGTGAGGGTATCCTCCAGAGTTAGCCGAATAAGTCCGGCGCTTGGCATCATCTGCCATGCTATCAATAGTTTCTTGTGAAAGCAGCTTGAACAATCTTCAATTAGTACGACAATTGAAAATAAGGTTAATTTCTAGACCAAGCTTTTTCATATTTCACCTTTCTCGAAAAAAAGAAGCAAGAAGTAAAAACGACAGCCAAGTAGCGTCACATTATTCTTTCAGCTTTTTGAATCCATCAAAAAGTTTTTACGTTCCTGAAATGTTGTTAACAACCATCACAAAGTTTTATTTAAACTTATTAGTTTTAATTAATACCTAGTAATACCAATAATTACTTACTTATTTATTATTTGTTTAATTCAATATGAATTTTTAGAGGTCTGGGACTCTTCGTAAAAATGTTATGTGCAAATATAAAACCTTCTTCAAATCAAGTCTATAATGACAATACAATGTCTCTTAAGTCATTAATGTCATAAGGACAGTTTGATGTGATTTAGACAAAGTTTATTAGAATGATTTTTTACAAATTTATTTTTCTGAGATAATTTATGATTGAGAGGATTTTTAAATGGACTATAATAACATTGGCAGGGCATGTCAAAGTCCTCATATACTCAACAGAATCATCACGATCATAACAGGTATTTGGAGATGTTAAAGGCAGAATTTCAGAAGAAGTTCGAAGATCCACCGGAATTTGAGAAAACTCCGGATAATTACGATAGAATAAAAGCAATCGGTAACGGTGCATACGGTGAAGTGTTTTTAGTAAGGGACAAAAGTACTTTCACATATCACGCAATGAAAGTTGTTGATAAAGAAGTTGTCGTAGAAAGAAAACACGTCAAACATTTGATACTGGAGAAAAAAATCCTACAGTGTGTGCAGTTCCCCTTTCTTGTAACCCTGGACGTCGCTTTTAAAGACAACTTGTATCTCTATTTCATACTTCCCTACATATCGGGCGGAGAAATGTTCACGTATATACAAAAGTATGGGAACTTCTCAGATAACCTATCAAAATTCTATGCCAGTCAAGTAGTTTTAGCCTTAGAATATATGCATTACTGTCAAATAGTGCATAGAGATCTAAAACCAGAAAACATATTGGTGGATACAAATGGCTATATAAAACTTTGTGATTTTGGATTTTGTAAAGTATTGAAGAAAAAAACGTGGACGTTATGTGGGACTCCTGAGTATTTAGCACCAGAAGTGATAATGTCTAAAGGATATTCATTCCCAGTAGACTGGTGGGCGTTAGGTGTATTAATTTTTGAAATGCAAGCTGGACACCCCCCGTTCTTTGCGTCTGATCCAAGCAAGCTATATGAGAAAATTCTTGAAGGTTCATACAAATGCCCAGATTCAATTAGCCCAGAAGCCAAAGGACTAATAAAAGGACTACTCCAAACAGATCAAACAAAGCGTTTAGGATCATTAAAAGGAGGAGTGTATGATATAAAAAGTCATTCTTGGTTTAATGATATTATTTGGCAATCAATTTTGCATCAACGTGTTGAGCCACCGTTCATTCCAATTTGTCCATCACCAGGAGACACAAGTAATTTTCCAGAAATAGCTCAACCCAAGTTGAGACGAGCGTCTAAATGCCTCTACGAAAAAGAATTCGAAGATTTTTGATAAATTGGCCAAATAAGTGCCACGTTGGTTGAGAGTTAATTACTGATATTTTTTGCGATTAGTTTTTATTGTATAGTTAATATATTTTGTATTAATAATAACATGATTGTGTAAGTGAATTAAATCATCTCCACCCTGATATTGTGTATAATAAAGTAATTTCGATAATTTTAAATGGTCTGTGACAGTTCATACGTAATCCATTTAGTATAGGGAAACACGGCTACACGTTTTTAAATGAAATGACAATATCAGGTGATATGGTATCTTTAATCACAGAATTAAGACAAAAAAAGAAAAAAATGGAGCAGACTTGGTTTTTAACATAACACTCTTCGCAGACAGGCCGATAGTTAGGCCCGATTCTAATTTGTATGAAGAATCAGTAAAACCAATGTGCATTCTTTCATTGTCCATACTGACAAAAAGTTCTGAAATCTGCGGCTAGGCTAAGGTAATTTACATAGCATAAAGTATTTTTAATTGAGAGAAACCTCGATAGATTGTAGATTTTGAGAGAAGAGAGACTTTATATTGACACTGTGGTCTCAGATTGGATGCAATGTCAAAATAATGAAATTTAATACGATCACGTTAGAGTATGAGAAAACGATTAAAAGTTATATTGGAAAGCAATTTGGTATAAGTTTAAATAAATATTTTAAAACCAATAGTCAAGTAATATTTTTATAAATCTATGAGTAAGATCGAAACTAGAGGATACACTCACGATCTTCAGATAAATCACAAGCGGTATTTAGATCTCTTGAAGCAAGAATTTGTGCAAAGATACAGCAGACCCGAAGAATATGAACCAAAATCGGTTGAAGATTTTGATAAAATTTCAACTATTGGAACAGGTGCATTTGGAACTGTCTTCTTGGTGCGAGAAAAGTCTTCTTTTGTGTATCACGCCATGAAAGCAGTCGAGAAAGCTGCTGTAGTGAAAAAGAAAAGTATCAAGCAACTGCTATTAGAGAAGAAAATATTACAGGGAGTCAATTTTCCATTTGTAATCTCGCTCGATTACTGCTGTAAAGACAACGTATACATTTACCTTTTGTTGCCTTATCAACCTGGTGGTGAGATCTATAGTCTGATTAAGAGATTGGGTGTACTATCTGAACCACTGGCACAGTTTTATGCAGCGCAAATGGTACTGGCGTTGGAGTACCTCCATCATTGTAACGTTATTCATAGAGATGTCAAGCCAGAAAATATATTGATATGTGGAACAGGGTTTATAAAATTAGCAGATTTCGGATTCTGCAAGATTTTGAAATCGCGAACATGGACTTTGTGTGGCACACCAGAATATTTAGCTCCAGAAATAATAACGTCAAAGGGATACACGTATTCTGTGGATTGGTGGTCTATGGGTGTTCTAATTTATGAAATGGTTGCTGGGTACCCCCCTTTCTACAGTTCTGATCCGATGAAATTGTATGAAAAAGTGCTTGCTGGTCAATTTAAGACACCAGACGTAATGACACCGGTTTGCAAGTCGTTAGTCAAGAGCTTATTAGAAGTAGACCCCTCAAAACGTTTAGGGTCCCTTAAGGCTGGCGTTTTCGATATTAAAAGCCATAAGTGGTTTTTTGAATCAAATTGGAATTCGATACTACATCTAAAAGTAATTCCGCCTTACATACCTGTCTGTAAAAACTCTGGCGATATTGGAAATTTCCCAGAGTTTGATGATAGTAAGCTTATGAAGTCTGATAAATGTTTGTATGCGAAGGAATTTGAGGACTTTTAAGTTTGGTTTATGATAATTAGCTATAATTTATTGTTTTTGATATAATTATATTATAATTTTGAATTTAAAACTGTTGTTTCCCTAGAAATTTAAGATCTGTAGACAAAAAGGTACTAACATTTTATTCTTACTGTAATTCTATAATTTAATAACTATAAAATTTTTAATTTGAATTGTTGAATGTTTATAGGTTTTCCGAGCATTAGAATATCCAGCAGAACTAGCCAAACAAGAGTTCCATCGGGAGCGTTTGCTTACAGAGCGATGGAACCTCATACGCTTCGTTTCCGAACGCAACGGGAACATTACATTAGATGCTGGTGTTGAAAAAGTACTCAGCGATCAATTAGCACTTTATGAAAAGGTTAGTCTTGTTCCCTTTTTATGGCGTTTACTATTCCAGTGATAAATTACACTTATTTAAAATTTATCAAATTCCGTTTTTTCGTAGGTTTTAGAAGAAGCATCTTCGAGTGGCCTATCATTAGAAGTAGAAAGAAATTTTCCACCCCTAGAAGAGAAATGGAGCATATTACAAGCCGTATTCTTTTCTTCCACAGTGCTCACTACAATAGGTGTGTAAGACCATGTAAGCATTACAGCTTATATTACAGAATTTAGCGATTGAGTGAGATATTGAAATGTGTTCAACAGCATATTGACTATTAGATAGCAATCATTATAGGCCTATTGCGTGTCGAGTGCCGACTTCAATCGAGAATGAAAATTGAGTCATCGGCAATAATATTCAAATGTAACTGCATAGTCACGGTACCTAATATAGTTTTATTTAAACCTATTTTTGATTTGCTTCAAGGTATTATACTTATGGATTAAATAATCTTTGTGTTTTGATTATTATTTGCATTTGTATTTCTCATGTAATGAACTCTTTCTTTCAGGATATGGGAACATTGTTCCCGAAACTTTTTGGGGGAGATTATTCTGCATCGCTTACGCACTTATTGGGATCCCATTGACGCTAACAGTTATTGCCGACCTGGGTCGAGTGTTTGCGACTTGCGTTTCGTTTATAGCTAAACAGTTGCCTGCAATGCCCCGTGAGTCTAATTAATTAAACCTTAATGTTAAAATAACTCTATATTACTATTTTCAAAGCCTGCAATTAATTTCAAGAGAGTAACATACACACTGCACCATTCCTAATTTGTAATAGTAAAAAGTGCCGATGCGAATCAAGTATAAAGTGCTGCATAAAGTTTGATCGATAACAGTATCTGAGTCACGACTGTGTGCATAATCGTTGCATATGCACTAGAGTCTAGTGCATATGCAACGATTATGCAATTATCTAGTGACTAGACCAATACAAACTTGATGAATATTGACGCATATCTTGACAAAATAAGCCAATAATGGCATAGTTACTTTGCCTACTAATTTTTCATTGGTGACAATGTTATTATCTTTGTTATTAAGTCTTCAACTGAAATTATCAACTTATTTTTGGTTTCTTTATGTGGAACATGCTACACAGTCATATGGTACCTAATATATTTCTTTAATCAATATAATCAGAATGCTCATGCATAATGACGCGTGAAAAGAAAAATCTCTTGTATTCTGTCATGTGTCCTTTCCAAATTGCATGTTATTCAATCGAGTGTCAAGGGAATAATATAAATTATTTTTCCAGAGTGTTGTAAAAGAGTCAGTGAAGCGAACCCCGCGAGTCAGAGGTCCCTCTACGCGTTTGGTGCTGTGGGGTTTTTATTCGTGTATCTGTCTGCTGGAGCAGGCCTCTTTAAGATGTGGGAGGACGACTGGAGCTTCTACGATGGCTTCTACTTTTGTTTCATTACCATGACCACCATTGGTTTTGGGGATCTGGTACCAAGTATGTAAATATTCATTCCAATGTTTTTAATCACTACATTTCCTCTACATAAATAAATCATACCGTGACACCCCAAACATTAAACCTAGATCACACTGCTACACTTTTAAAATCAAGTCGTAAAATACTTTTGGATCATAGAGCATTCATTAATAAACAATGTCATCAAGTTTCACTATTACGTTATTTCTGAATAGACAACCTAACTATATTATTAAATTAAAACAGTTGCAAACATCAACTTGTTCAATATAACGCTGCTTTACCTTTAGTAAGAGATTTACAAAAGTAAACAGTATTTCCAGACAGATATTCTTAGAACATATGCGTACTTCGTGTTGTTACATGTAGCCTGGGCTTTAGCCAGGCGTGATAAATAAGGGTGGGATGTTACCGTATCCATAGCAACGATAAATAGCGCTTGCAAGGCAAACACCTCAGCCCAGAGACAAATATCTATTTCATCCACAGTCATTTGTCCCGGCTCCGACGCGCTGCCAACCACTGGGTCAGACACATTTACATATTAGCCTTATTTGAAAACGTTGTGCAAAGCTTTCCCATTTCTGTTGTATCTGTTGACAAAGTTATTCTCGTAATGGTTTCGGGTCGCGATCGTGGTGAATATTGGAATTTGGAACCCATTCCGACCTCTCGTTTGTTTGAAAATCGCTAAGTTTAGTGGAATTTCGTGCTCTATAAGCCCACAGAAATATGCGTCTGCCGCAAAGTAAGAATGTCGCCAAATGTGTTCAGAAGCCAACGACATATTAATCACCGGATAAATGGTGCCAGTCCTCAAAATATAGCCATGTTAACCGCGACTCCGCGAGCCATGACCTTTTATGTCACGGCCATTTATCTGAACATAAATATTATACACTCGTAATCGAACATATATCTTGGTATCGAACATTATTGCTTCTGACCACAGAAATACTTCTGGTATTAAAAAATAATAAACAAATACATAAATAATATGACGGCTAAAACATTTATGATGAGATTCATCAAATTTATTTCCGTCTAGTAAACACATTTTAATCAATTCTCGTTTTATACTATGCACTTATTTCTAGTAAGTACTAACATGATGTGATCGGGATAACAAAGCTGGTTGCAATCCGCATGCATTAGTTGAAACCGGGTTTAAGTTGCACCCAACTTTGAACCTTATTCGTTTTATTCCAGAAAGGCCGAAATACATGCTTCTATGCACGCTCTACATTTTAATCGGGTTGGCTCTCACTTCGACTATCATCGAGCTGGTGCGACGGCAGTACGCCAGGTCCTGGCAACAGTTACGGGCGCTCTCTGGCCCGCTGGCGGACACGCTGCGAAGACTCGGCGACGCCGGACGTGGAGTCGACGTGTCTGACCTTCGGAAAGTTCTCACTGTGGTAAGTGTCGCTCCACTTTTTAGGACAAGGTCGGGCATGGAATGGATGATCGTAAACGCGTCCAGTATTAAGTGGCAATACTATTGTGGGTTAAATAGAAATAAATGCATATTACCTTCGACTCTCGACCCCATTGGCTCTCTTCGGATTTATTGCATATTGGCATTTTCTGACTGCATTTCGCAGCCAGGCTACAGCTATCGGAAAACTGTCTAGTGTCTACCACTCAAAATTCGGTCACGGAATGCAACTGGAAATTTCGCGAACATTTGCAAGCACAGTATCTAGATAACAATAATGCGGGTTGGAATTTGATAATATTATTTTTAAAGACTAACACAATTAAAATACCTACCTACTCGTCGGATAGGTTTTTTGAAGTTTGGCATAAACATGAAACGCAACCCATGACAGAACTTGCGGCTGCTTGTAGTTAAATTTAATTTAGTTTTAATTGTTTTAAAAGTATTTTTTTTATTGATTTGTTTGGAAAGATTTTATAATTTTGATAAGAAAACATCTACTAGGGAGCTTAAACTTCTGTTTTTGATCTGATAAATTTTCGCAGAAATGGCATCATCGTTTTCTAAAAGCAACTTGATGCATTCGGTGTCGATAGAGGCAAATTGGCAGAAGCAGAGCTCGTCAGAGATCAATGCGCTGTGTCGACAGCCGCTGTCTGTCGCGTAAACAGAAAACGCGCGATGACTGACGCTGTGTTTGTTGGCTTCTGTAAACAGATGTTCTACTCCTAGTACATTTTATAAAGTAGAACTAAACGAATACTTACAAATTGCTACTTGAATTAAACACTTAAACAGACTTCTAATAAGTTCTTGATTCCTTATGATGAAGATAAGACTAATTCGGGCTGTCATTGCAGGCGAATGCTCGAGGGATTNGCGATGCAGGTTTGTATGAGCGGCGGAGTGTGCTATAGTGTAGTAGTGACAGCGCCATCTGTTGGTAGACTAGTTTGTAGTGGCGAGTAGATGCCGCCACAGTTCATTTGCTACAGATTCATCAGTAACATGTTAAATAGGTGATGGATGTAAATAGATCAGTCTGCATAATTGGACAGCAAGTCACGTTTAAGTTCAGTCGATGTGTAACAACCATGCCTTACCTTACTCAACATCCGATTATACCAAATGCATGCATCATCATACATCATCGTTTGGTATGTGTCGGAATAACAACGAAAGCGTTTCTTTGTCTGGCCTTAAGGCTGAGGAAATTAAAGTCACCTATTGTGTGGGGGACTTGGATTTATGAATGTTCACCTCGGTTCTGTGTTTATATTATTTTCTTTTGAAAAGCCGGTTTTATAGGTAAAAGAAAAAAGAAAGTAGGTATATTTATATGAAACCTTTCCAAAACATATTTAGGTGTATTTGCGATAATTTTTAGTTTATATCACAAAAACTCAATCCTATATCAGTGTGACATTCATCCTTTATGTAACTATGTAAGAATGTATTCTATCTGGGCTGAATCGAGTGAAAACCAAACCATCTGTAGAGTGGAGCTTCTTTAAGTCTATAAATGCTTTATGTATTTTCGATTTAGGACTATCCAGTCGCAAGCGATATTTAACTCTGCAAGCACGATGTTTACTTCGAACTTGTATAAATCTTGCAAAGATTCCCAAAGGGCNAAAAGGGTTTAATAATAAGTATTTGTATTTAAAGCAAGAATCCTACGCAGAATCAAGTTTCTATAGCTACCTCAATTATTTCGTTAATTTATTTTTGTTTTCCCTTGACGAAATTGTTTTGCAAAACTCTGCATTTTATTCGTTAAAAATGCGACAGACGCATTCGTTCCGGACGTTTATTCGGGTCGGCGGGATCCTTTGGCTTCATTTGTTTGTGAAACAGAGCGCTCTCTAATTTATTTGCAACAGAATAACTCCGCTAAGAACTTAGGCATGTGGGTTTATTTCTGTCGAAAATAATATATTCGGCCTGCCTTTTTACTGTTTTTGTTGGCGCCGCATGAATGTATATTTTTGAATTTAAATAATCTCTGTATTATGAAGGGATTTTGGAACTGGGGCATTATGGAACCGCGTGTTATCCATTTATGCTTCATTGGATAAAATAACGGGCACGTATACGTCATAATACAGAAATTAAAATGCTGGTGAGATAAGCTGAGCTGTAACTATTTTAACATCTACCTTGTTGTATTACCTTGTCTCGGTGAATAAATGATCTATAATCTTTAAATATTAATTAACTGGGCTTGTAAATTCAGCTTGAATTTCAGTATCTAGACCGTTTTTTATCTCGAGAGTTTCAGATTTCTTTCACGTAGAGAAAATACATTACTTCTTAGCCTAGTAGAACCAGAGTGCAGCAATGTATCCACTCAAGATTAATGAATCTTTCCGAGGAGTAATGGCGGTGCTATCTTGAATACCACACGACTAAAATTTGACAGGTTAAGGCGCAACGAAAAATTTTTACGCTTAATGCAGTTTGAGAAAAAAATATATTTTTTTAAATTACTTATTCCAAAACACGTTTGAATTCGATCACAGAAGGTTCTTGGTTGTGTATTTTCGAAATCTAATGAATTTATTTGATTGTGGTAAATAAAATAGATTTATTAATGCGTAAATTGGTTATTACGTTCTCGTAGCTTTTTCAGCGCGACTCATTTGACATCGATCACTGTAATGAAAGTAATTAGCAAAAGTGTCCCCAATAATGGCAATGTAAGCAACGCGGAGAAGCACTTTGGCGCAAATATAATTTGATGTGAGCTTCTATTGGTGCCGCTTATACATACAGAAGAGTAGGTAGGTACCTACATAAGGTGCGGCCAAACCAACGCTTGTAGCCCTTGTACGCGATGGCGATGGCGATCAGATGGCATAATGTGAGTTTACATCAAACGCATTCGATATCGACTGCGTTAAAAAAGTATAAGAATAAGAATAAGAATAAGAATATTTTTATTGATGTAATACACTGTAACATTTTATATTGAAACCCTGGCTCCTAAACTAGTGTAAACTGTATTTCAGGAGCCAGTGTCTATGTCTATAGTATATGGAGATTTTAGTTCTTGACAGTTTCCGCTAGGGGCGCTGTACAATCCGTCATACATTGAATATCACTTTTTTACGCTGTCGATATCGAATAATTCATACATTGAATATCACTTTTTTACGCAGTCGATATCGAATGCGTTTGACGTAAACTCACACTACGCCTCCAGTAGAAATCAGTAGGATCGCCATCGCCACCGTTATCGCCATCGTGCACGCAGGCTGCACGCGTTGGTTTGATCAAACCTTTTCTTACCTCATATCGAGGCCACGTGGTTCAATGTCGCAACGGCCACCCTTTTAGTTTTAGTGGCCATAAAAATTCGGTGTACGCTTTGGAAATACGTCCTTAGTTTATTTCCTAAACTTTTAGACAAACAGACGGCCGCATTTTAATTGAAAGATCAACTTTATGAGGCTGGCTGTCTCGACTCTCGACTAATAATAAATCTAAGCGCGGGTCCGAGGTTCAGGATAAATGGTGTCGCTTAAATGCCAGAATGTTAAAGTGTAATTGTTTCGATTTGAATAAAAAATCGGGGTGACGAGAGAAATCTTGTGTGCGAAATAGTTACTATGTTAGGAATGATAACTAAAATGTTTATGTGAACTATCAAAATTCTAGTTAGTAACTTGTGTTAAAAAACTGATAATTTAATAGGAATGTAAGTACGAGACAGCCGTATTTACTTATTAGCCTAGCCGCAGACTATAGACTTTTCGTCGACCGATAGTTGGGCCCGATTTTGATTTGTATGAAGAATCGGCTGATGTAATGTGCGCACTTTCATACATGTTCATACTGATTAACAACCCGACCCAACTATCGGCCGACAAAAAGTTGGTGGTTTGAGCCTAGGCTTAGAGGGACTCTAATTAACTTTCTATGAAAGTAGCAAAATTCACTTAAGTTTGTTAATAAATTGTATCGCTTCGAGCGCAATTTTTATTCCCTGTCGTAAACATTTCAGTGCGGAATTAGAGATTGTTTGCGGTAAGTAAGATATAACGATTCGGAACGGATGATATATTTACTGCTGTTTCGGTTTTACAATCGGCAAGACGGACGTTGCTGTGATTTTTATAAGTTTCCGATTCGATCGTAAACATAAAGCATTGGCGGTGACGTCAGAGTTTCAGAGCTGTCTTGACGCGACCTTCGAGAAGATTACAAAAGTTCAGACGCGTGACGTGAAACGGGTAACGCGTTGTGCATTTGTCTGTGCGATGTCAGATTTTCGACAAGATTCCTAACTTTGTGGTAGCTTTTGATACATTTTCTGTTAGAAGGTACTCAAAGCGCGACGTGTGTTGTGAACAAGTAGCTTGTTTAACAGACCTGAAAGACAGCTTTTATTTCGATGCCTTAAGAACTTTCTATTTCTTTTACGTATAATGGCTGGTACCTTGAAAACGTAAAATATCTTATTTGCGTGAGTACCTATTAAGAAGTCATCTCCTGGACTGGATGTCACAGTTCTGTGTTATCTGTCAGCAGCTACCTGCAGCACTACTAGGTCATCCACGTATTACCCATAAGTTCGAAGGACTTGTCTGTGACCTACCTTGGCAGAGGCCTACGTCTACGTCCAACAGTGGACTGATGAGCTGAAATGATTATTGCGATAAAAATCCATTTACCTAAATGACCTTATTATTTTTTTAAAGATACAGGCCGTAGTAACACACACAGACCTTTTTATTGTGATTGCGGTGATTCCCAAATATATTGCACGTAAAATCGTTTCACGTCACCGATGATACGATCTGTGGCGACGAATTGACCATCAAAGTATATGGAATGCCGTTCCGATGAGAAAGCGAATCAGAAAATGATTGCTTTGTTGGTTGAATTCCATTTTAGATGACAATCGTATCGAGATAGGGACAATATTAAGCCTCAAACTGAAGGTACACTATTCGCTGATACCGATATTGTGTT